CAAACAAATATTAATTGCATTTGCATTCACATTAGTTAATATGTATTAAAAAGATTTTTGCTTTTTACTACACAAACACACACACACACACAGACGCACAACCTCACTCACTCACATACATAGACATACACACACACCACACACCACATATATATTCATATATAAGTATATAAATATATATATATATAGTATATATATATATATATATATATATATATATATACATTATACATTGTATTAAACTGTTTTACGTAAATTTTAATTAAGAAAATTCATAAATAAAAGTTTAGGTAAACGTCTGCGTGTGTATGTGTGAGTGTATGTGTGTGTGTGCGTGTTTATGTGGGAGTGTGTGTATGTATAAGTGTATGTATGTGTGTGTGTGTGTGTGTGTGTGTGTGAATTGAAATGAATTAAAAATGTTCTATTTATAAATGTTCTTAAATTAATATCTCTAATGCATTTGTTTGTCTAAAGTTGGCATTGGCACCGTTTCATGGACTTAAGAAGATACCTACCTACCTACCATAGACAAAGCAGTCACTGATGCGTTTATTTTTGTTATTATTATGCCTCGTTATTTGATTATTATTATTTTTTTTTATTTTTAGTAATAGTATTAGTTATTAGTTGTAGTAGTAATTATATGTGCTATTGTATTAATGTAAATTAAAAAAATTAATGTTGATATGTTGTTGTTGCTGTTGTTGCCATACCTGTTGTCGAGGTTTAGTTGTTTTTTGTTACTTGTCGTTGTGACTGTTAAGATTGTGGTAGTTGTTTTGGCTGCTTGAGTTGTTGTGGTTGTTGTGGTTTTGTTGTACTGGAGTTGGTTGTTGGTGTTGCATGTTATTTGTTGGTTATTTTGTTTTGGCTAAGATGTGTTAGTTGTTGTTGTTGCACGTAAGTTGTTGTTCTGTAAATGTTTGGTTGTCAAAGTTGTTGCGTGCTAATTGCTGTGATGTGTGGTTTGTTGTTGTGAATGTATGTGTGTGTGTGTTTTTTGTTGTTGCTAATGTGTGTGTGTGTGTTTGTCGTTGGGTCTTTGTGAGTGTATGTGTGTGTGTTTGTCATTGTGTCATTGTGAGTGTATGTGCGTGTTGTTTGATGTTCTTTTGCGCTACAAGTGTGATAATGCCGCCCTTGCTCTGTTTTTATTATGTTGTTGATATATTTGCTGTTACTTCATGTGGCTGTTATTTGTTATTACTGTTGTCACTCTTGTCATTGTAGTTGTTGTTATTCTTATTGTTGTTGTTGTTTTCTGTATGTCAGAGAGTATGGGAACACATCAAACGTCACGACATGCCCCCACCTACATAGCGCACCTACACACCTACGCACCTACCTACCTACCTACCTACCTACCTACCTACCTACCTACCTACCTACCTACCTACCTACCTACCTGCCTGCCTACCTACCTACCTACCTACCTACCTACCTACCTACCTACCTACCTACCTATCTACCTACCTACCTGCCTGCTTGCCTGCCTACCTACCTACCTACCTACCTACCTACCTACCTGCCTACCTATCAATCATTGCAGTGTACTCTTTGATCGAATGATCGTTTGGTGAGAGTGTGGAAAGTATTCAATTGTTAATTATTGCTCCGATAAAATCAGAACTATTTGTTTGTTTTGTGCTGATAATTGTGATGATGATAACGATAACGATGGTGACGATGAAGAAGAAGAAAAAAAAGAAGAAGATAAAGATGATGATGAATGATGACGATGATGATGATGAAGAAGAAAAAGAAGAAAAAAAAAGATGATGACGATGATGATGATGATGGTGATGGTGATGATGATGATGATGACTAACAACGACGAAGATGATGATAGTGATGATGAGGACGATATTAAATCATTAGCTTCAATTAGAGGCTATGAAGCAGAACTGGAGGGTTAAACATCTGACATCGGGGCAGGTCACAGACGGTCATAGATAAAAAATAAATTAGTAATAATTTTGTTATTTATGAATGTTCGTTATGCAATGTTTGCTAAGCTACGTGCGCAGCGCACTCTAAAAAACTTTTTACTGAGTTTTTGTTATTATTTTTTTATTGAATTTTTTCGTTATTATCTTTATTTTGGATCATTTAGTCTTCCTTCTTGGAACCTGAAAACATAAACGCGCATGTTTTGATAAGGACAAACAATGGAAAATGAAAATGTGATACATTCTGTCAACAATCTACCTGTCTAACTCGTTGTTTGTGTCGAAAGTTGACATAAGTGTAATATATGGCCAGGTAGCAAATGTGCAACCAATTTTTAAATTCAACGATATCGCAAAAAAAAATAATGAAATTTTCAAACGTTCAAAAATATCGGCAGATGAAATGAAAAGACGTAAATTTTTGATCCAGTTAGCAGTAGTAGGAGATTCGATGCAACCTGAAAACCATTAGTAATGAGACAGGGTCCTGTGGCAAACAGGACAAGGCAGTTGTTTCGTAAAAGTAATTTCAGTGTGAAATCTGTCAATGATGCCCTATTTGCTTTAATAACAAGTTTTCTGACTCATTCGTCAGTGAAACTTTTGAGCTAAAGTTTGTTTGTACAGACCTGTGGTGGAAATTTGATAGCAATAACAATTCAGCTGATGTTAGCTATCAACCACCTGAAAAGAAAGAGGATAGTAAAAGTTTGCGGAATTAATAAATATGCTTTTTAGACGGTTTTTTTATAGAAAGTTTTGCGATTTCGAGTTTAATTTTTGTATCTACCTTTTATGAGATAGGTACTGATAATAGCGCTTTACAAATATTCAATAATAATTATAATTATAATAATAATTTTAATTATAATAATATAAAATAATGTCAAAAGATGCCATGGAAGTAACTTAAAACGCGTTGTACAGGCATACGTGCATTTACATAAGTTTGATGGATTCGATGTACGTATGCAACTTGAAACCCATTCAACGATGAAAGAACTCATTAAACACAATCACGAAAAATAAATATTGTAAAAAATATCTCTGGACAAAACATCAGACGATGAACAAGTGGATGAAAAAGTAAGTCGATGAACAAACAAATGGATGAACAAACAAGTGGCTAAACAAAACAAACAAATGAGTGAACAAACAACAAAAACACGAATGTGCTAGTAAACGAAAAACATTGTGAACCTATAGAACGCACACTTGCACACATCATTTGAATAAAGTCTATGTCAACTTATAATTCTGAAACTGATGGAAATATTGAATGACAAAATAACGAATAACGAAATTATGATGGTTAAAAATGATAACAGTAAAACTGAACAAATAAAAATATAAATAGCATTAAATAAAGAGCATTAAAATACCAAAAATATTAAAGTATTTTATGAACAGACATAAACAACCAAATAAGACAAACATCCTCTTCAAAAAAAGTCATAAAACAAAAAAAAATCAAAATCCAAAGAATGAATGAGCAAATAAAAGAATGAATGAAACGATGAACTCCCAATAGTTTAGGAGGAATGACGGAAGGAGAGAAAGAAGAAAAGGGAGGAGGAAGTAAAGAAAAAGGATAGCCTCAACCATAAAGCAGCAGACTCTGGCGGATAATATAAACAAACAATTAAGCAATCAGTCATCTGCCAATATAATGGCCGGTCAGTCCTTCTTAGCAGTAGCATCATAAACTCATACATGATGTACTGCTTCACGCTATCTATAAAACTCTACAAGAGTACATTCTAATTACCAATATACCATACATCTAAATACATATATACCAGATATACCTTACATCTAAATACATATATACCAGATATACCATACATCTAAATACATACATACCAGGTAAGCCATACATCTAAATACATAAATACCAGGTAAGCCATACATACAAATACATATATACCAGGTAAACTATACATATAAATACATATATACCATATATATGTACATTATTACATGATAAATACCGGATGAAATATAGCATGTCATAAAAACGTACAGACTTAACACTATGCGCAGTTTGTTGTTCTTTCCCTCTGGCAATAATTTGTAAGACATCACCAATTTGTTTGTAAGAACAATCGCCCGGCATCAATTTCTTTACAATTTATTTATAGATGGAGTGAGGTGGCATGCATTTGCTTGTTCGTTTGATTGTAAAAGAATTGATACAAATATGGTAAAGAAAATTTCATGTAATGGTTTATTTCACAATTTTTGCGATGCATTTATTTATAACTTTTGAAAAATAAAAAAAATCAAACATTCAAAACGACATCATATAAAAATGCTGAAACGGTGTTTTTTTAAATTAAGCTTAAATTTTAGAGAGAAGTCCAACAGTCAATAAATAAACAAATAAATAAAATAAATAAATAAAAAATAAGTAAATGAACATGTAAATGTAAAAATAAATTAGCTTTCTGGAAGATCTGTCCAGTTGATATCTCAAAGATTTTACGTCACGGCCAATAGGCATGGCATTGAAGGCTGGTTTGCATGGAGATGAGAAAGGAGAAGAAGAGAGAATGTTCCAGTAAATGGGTGAGTGAGTGGGTGAGTGAGTGAGTGAGTGAGCGAGCGAGTGAGTGAGTGAGCGAGCGAGTGAGTGAGTGAGTGAGTGAGTGAGTGAGTGAGTGAGTGAGTGAGTGAGTGAGTGAGTGAGTGAGTGAGTGAGTGAGTGAGTGAGTGAGTGAGTGAGTGAGTGAGTGAGTGAGTGAGTGAGTGAGTGAGTGAGTGAGTGAGTGAGTGAGTGAGTGAGTGAGTGAGTGAGTGAGTGAGTGAGTGAGTGAGTGAGCAAACGAATGAATGAATGAATAAGATAAAGAAAAATAAATTATCGAAATAAAATCTACGCTTTTTAAAATTCGAAAGCAGACATAACACAAAAATGATTTTCCGGTTTTCAAATTATATAATTTCAATGTTATACGTAAAAAATTAACAACTCGAATAAAATATTAACATTTAAATTTGTTTATTTCAAATAAATACTTCTATTATAATTAATATAAGCAGGAACATTTAGAAACTGCATTTGAGTATGTCGGTAGTACAATCTAACACAGTTGAATTCTGCGTTAATCAATAAACCGATAGAGTGGGCAAAATTAATGAGAGTTGAAAGAAATGTTTTTGGATAAAAAAACTTTTTTGATGAAAAAATATTTTGTTGGTTTTGTTGATTTTTTAAACTGTTTTTTGTTGTTTTCGTTGATGCACTTTCGTTTTTCAAACACTTAAACATGATTGTCCATTTGGGAAAAAATTCGAGAAGAAAAATTTGATTTTCTAAACTTCAAAAAACTTCAAAAAATTTTTGATGATAGAATGAAGTTCTTCTTTCTAAATGAGAAACAAATTAAAAAAATATTCCGACATAAAAAAAAAATACAAGCAAGCATTTTAACCATATTTCAAAATGAAAGCAACATCATAAAACAAATTAAAAACACAAATTAAGCAAGCAGAGAATGAAGCAAATAAACATCTTTAACTGAAAAACAGTGGAAAAATGTTAAGTTAAAAAATGGTGCCAAAAAATGAGATGAACTAACATTTTTATTTGGAAGCAGGTAGGTCCTGCATAGAGGCTTGAAGGCGTGGGTGCCACACACAAGTAACTCCTCTGGCTTCGTCTTTACGAGTGCTCGAATGTAATTCTGGCAGTCTTCCTGTTCAATTAAAAAGTTAATTCTTCTCGTCATTTCTACGAAACCGAAAAATCTTTCTTACAAAAATGGCCCAATATATGAACATCTCTAACTTGTATATGCATGCTAAACTAGATATATGTAAAATATTTGTTATCTAAATATAGAAATTGAATCTGTTTTAGCCTTAGAAATTGAAAGTTAATATATTTTGGTATAAAAAATCTTGAATATGTTGAAAAATGTTGAAAAAACAAAAATATAAACTGCTTAGCACTACACTCATAAAATTTTAATGTCACTGTTGTTTGAAAAGTGCAGTGAAATTAGTTTTCATTGGCAGTGTCACATGCCAAACGCTCCGTTCGTTCGTTCGTTTGTTCATTCATTCAACGTACGACGGACAAAACAAGATGCTGTTCTTCAGTTCAATCCCAACTACACGCATGAACACCGGTCTGTCACTCATTATAAAAGTTTATTCATATTGTATAAAAATATTTGCAAAAAATTATTTTAAAAATTTTGAAATAAAGCACAACAGTAGAAAAATAAAATGATCCCTAATGATAGTAGATTATTTTTCGATCTAATTGTGTGTGTTTATGAACTTATGTTAAAAGTATAGAATGATTAAAATTGTTTTGGCTCGATTTTAAATAAAACTAAATAAATAAAAATAAATTTAGTAAATAAAAAAATTTAGTGTATGTTAAATTTTTCCAGAAACAACAATTTTAAAAACGAATATAAAAATTTAAAAAAATTTGCAATTTAAAAAACTACTATTTGTTTATCAGTTGATTATATACAAACAACTAGTTTTAATTGCATCGAGCTGTGACGAAACTCATCTGAATAAGTAAGCACTACCATTTGGTGCATACGATGCAGACGGCCCATCCATACACCTACCTGCACTAATTACTCAGATGACAAATGAATAGATAAAAAGTATTAAAAAAAATATTTAATGGATTTGAGAGAGAGAGAGAGAGAGAGAGAGAGAAATTGAAGTATTGCTGAAAAAATTCCTTTCAACTGGGCAATTAATCATTCGGTGACAACTCTCAAACGAACATCATAAATATCTCCTCAATGGCTTCCTTACTTTCACCATTCAAAAATGATCTGCGATAGATGGCTGGCTAAGGCTAGTTGGCTTGGAAGTGTGGTGAAGATGAAACCGAACCGATGCTGCTAATGTCATATATTTATATTACTGTTGATGATAGTATTATCAACTTTAATGACTTGCTCATTGTTGTTATGATGTCTTTGATGAGTTGGTTTGTTTGTTTGATCTGCTATTCTTCTTTTTAACTAATTGTTAGATATTAATTGCTGGTAGATCTAAATGTAGGGCTGCAATAAAAAGAGAAAGACTTTGATCAAACGTTGAGATGTTTGTTAAAACAATAACAAATAACCGACAATGACAAGTGATGTTGGTTTGCTTACGATACGAGTATGATGACAATGATTATAAAAATGATAATGATGATACAATGACAATAATTATAATGATTGATACAAACGTCAGAGGGATGAAGTGATTATAGTTGTTACTCTCGACAAAATGACATGAAATACATTTTTTTTGTTCATAATCACACGCATCTCTTTTGCGAATGCAGTTAAAAATTTTGTGGTCGTTCGTCGATTGCATGATCTCAGCTTCATGGTGTTATCAATCTTACGCTGTTTTATTTATAGGCCAATATACGTATTTGTGTGGCAAATACTTTAGATGTATCTATTCATATTTTAAATGTCTATATATTTATTTACTTATAATATCTGTAAATTTATTGGAATTTGAGACATGAAAAATCATTTTAATTCAGTTAAATTACAAGTGAAATAACGCATTATGCTTGTGTCAATGGACATCAAATAGGAAGAATCGTGCAGATCAGTGCTGAAGTTTGTTTTTTAGTACTGGGTTTTGTGTGAGAAAATTAATTGATCGTGCAAGTAAATAATTTAAAGACAAATCTGTTTCGTAATGGAACAATCATTCATTAGGCTAATCAAATAAGTGCAATTTAGAGGCAGCAATGAGATTGGGAACAATTAAATCATTCATCAAGTCTCAAACAACAAAGTGAATATGCTTCAACTAATGTCCTAATCTGTATGTTCCCTGAAAATAATTAACACTTTCTCAATTTCTTGCCATCATCAATAAGTCAAACAAGAAAGTTTTGGATATGTTCACCTTATATATTGCAGTGCATTCATTTTCCAGCTGCAAAGCAGGGTCCGCCGCCTGAAGGCACAAAAGACTGACGTTCAACATGGGCTTTGTATACTGTATGTTGTATATATATATATATATATATATATATATATATATATATATATATATATATATATGTATGTATATATATGTTGGTAATAGACCATAATTATAAGCGCCGGGTTGGAAGTGAGGTTGTCATTTTTTGTTGTATATTTATTTTTGGTTTATTGATGTCAATTAGGACTGCTTCTGCAATTTTAAGATGCGTGTAGTTGCTGTTCTGGTATATTACCTTGGTGTTGCTGTCGAGGATTTCACGGCTAATTGTGATTGAGTGTGTTGAGTCCAAATGAGATTTGATAGCACCACTCTGTTTATGTATCTGACTAGAAGGCTTACGAAATTCTCGACAGCAACACCCGGCGCTTAACCAACAACGAAAACAAAGAAGTAATAAAAACTAGCATCGTAAATAGTGACAAAGAAGAATATGATGCTATCGATGAAGAAAAGGAGACCAAAGAAGATGACCAGCCAATAAAGAAACCTGACACATAATTCGCATCAAAGTTCAATTTTACAACACCAAAGTTAATTTTTACAACGTCAAAGTTCATCTTGACAAAGTCAATATTTCCTTATATATACAGCAAAGAGCACTGATG